TATATATATATATATATATATATATATATATATTAATATTAGTAGCAAACTAACTACTTAAGATTTATTTTTTATTTTTGGTTTAATAATATAATTTTTTATAAAACTAATAATTAAATATTTTGTTAGAACTCAATGATTATCCTAATTATATTTTAGATTTTAAATATTTAAAATGAGATGTTTATCTTTTGTTTGATTTTAAGTAACATGTATTAATAAACAATATTTCATGTATAAAAAAGTAATTTTTAAGAGTTTTTATCGAATGATTTATAATATAGTATATAAAATAATATTTTATTCCCAAAAAAATTAATATATTATTATTTAATAATATTATTGCGAAGTTTATTAAGCATTAATTTAATCTTATTTAAAAACTGTTTAAAAACTCGTTTTAGTAAGTGAACCGAAACGGATTTAAATATCGGTCGGCAACGTTGTGACCAAAAAGTCAAGATAGTGAGACAATTGGACCCGGATCATATGCCTTGTTGACCACTATCCTTTCATTTCCATTTTTACCCTCGCTTCCTACCATTTTTTTTTCACAAAAATATTACGGTTATTTTTTATGTATTTTAAAAATATTAGAAGGGTATTTGCGTAATGTAACCAGATACATTTTGATTTTAATATTTTACTTTATTTTTTATCTCAGTCGATATGGTCTTATGTGATTTTGAAAAAACGATGATGTTTTTATTTTTGAATAAAATATAAACTTGAAGATATCATAAAATTTTGACAAAAATATATCGATAATAATATCAAATTAACTATTTAAAATTTATATTTTTTGTGTAATTTTTTAATTTAATTTTTTTTATTATAATCTAATTTAGGTTCAATAACGAAATAATTTATATTTGGTTTAATAATATAATTTTTCTTACAAAGATAATAATTAATTATTTTATTATAACTCGATAATTATCTTAATTATATTTTAGATTTTTTATATTTTAAAATGAGATGTTTATTTTCTATTTGATTATATTTATCCTCAGTTAGTTACATGAATTCAAACATGGAGCTAACATCATATGGCTGTGGTAGATATACAGTGTATATGCCATTGCAAGAATAGTTGGTTTAATATATATATATATTTTAAGTAGCTTACAACGTGTAGCTCAATTGATAAAAGGTTGGAGTGACTTTGTCCAAATACAGAGAGCTTCAAGGTTCGATTTCTCTCCATCTAACTTCAAAAATGTTATCATGTATTGATGTCGTTGAAGACGGAGTCTGTACCGAACCACTTGAGGTCCTCAGTATTCAATATTTTACCAAAACATATATTTTAGATAACTAAAAAGGTACTCGCACAATGCAGCGAGATACATCTTGATTTTAATATTTCATTTTATTTTTTATCTCAGTTGATGTTAAATATGGTCTTATGTGATTTTGGAAAAAACAATGACGTTTTTATTTTTGAATAAAATATAAATTTAAAGATATCATACAAATTTGACAAAAATATATCGATATTAGTATCAAATTAACCATTTAAAATTCTACATTTTTTGTGTAATTTTCTAATTCAATTTTTTTATTATAATTTAATTTAGTTTCAATAAAAAAATAATTTATATTTGGTTTAATAATATAATTTTCTTATAAAGATAATAATTAATTATTTTGTTAAAGCTCGATAATTATCCTAATTATCTTTTAGATATGTTATATTTTAAAATGAGATGTTTATCCTCTATTTGATTATGTTTATCTGCAGTTAGTTACATGAATCCAAACATGGAGCTTTAATAAGTTGTACTTATGCATAATTTACTTGTAATCTTGAATTTTAAGTAATATGCATCAATATACGGTACTTCATGCATAAAAAATAATTTTTAAAACATTTTATCAAATATTTTATAATATAGTATGGATTATTTAAAAAATCATAATCATAATCATAATGAGTAAATTTTTAACATAATATTCCGGAGGAGGTGGGAAGGGTAATTTAGTAATTTCAGAGATTCCCGCGTCAACACCTTGGCATCTTCCACGCACTCTCAATCAACGAAAGCTGCTTTCTGAACAACTTCAAAATCGTGATACGAACCACCCTCGAAATTTCCCTCTTTCCCCCCTTCCCCTTAATACTCCAAATACTCACCTTTCCCATCTCCCAATCCACAGACCATCTTCCTTTCTCTCTCTCATTCATTTCTTGATTCCATGGCTGCCGATGGAACTACTGTTGACCCTCCAAACAATAGTCAATGGAGGGAAATGGAAGGAGAACCCAACTCCAATAGCTATGCTCTCAGCGGCAAAATCATGCTCGCCTCCATTATCGTCCTCTTCGTCGTCGTCGTTTTCCTGGTTCTCCTCCACCTCTACGCACGATGGTATCTCCTCCGCCTACAGCGGCGGAACAACAACCGTCGTCGTAATCGCCATAATCGGTCTACCCGTATCATCTTCTACCTCGACCAAGATAGAGGACCGGCTGTTCCCACCGGCGGGCTTGATTCGTCTGTGTTGAAGTCACTTCCGTTGTTTATGTACTCGTCGGAAACCGACGGAAACATGCCGGAATGTGCTGTTTGTTTGTCGGAGTTTGAAGAGGGTGAGAAGGGTCGGATTTTACCGAAATGTAAACATAGTTTTCACACGGAGTGCATTGACATGTGGTTTCACAGTAACTCGACTTGCCCGCTTTGCCGGTCGCCGGTGGAGCCTGTTGAATCGGAAATGGCGATATTGATTGACCAGCCGGAGTCTATGCCCGAACCCGGTTCAAGTAATTCGCTTAGCTCCCCGGTTCAACCTGAACATGCAGGAACGATGTCGTTGGCGGATAGGAGGAAAGGGATAGATGTCAGAATAGATGTCCCCACCCGAAACGAGATGGCGGCGGATAACGATTTCCGGCTACCGTCTCCGAGCCAGGGCTTCAGGTCACCTGCGAGCCGGTTATTGGCTTTGAAGAGAATACTAAGCATGAGTAGAAAATCACCGGCGGCGTCCCCATCGTCAGGTGTCGGACCGAGTCGTTTACCGGTGGCCACCGAATCAGATCTCGAGTCAGCGACGCAAGAGTTAGCTCATGAGTCAACTCGGCTAGAAGCCGATAATCTTAGATAAAATTACGAAAAAGGGTCAACTTGGCGGCTACCCTAGAAAAAACGATGAACGGAATAGAACCGTGAGATCAGACACGTGTAATAATCTTAAGAGCAACATGTAGGTCCATGAGTCATATATTCGGTTGTCCTTTTTTAGGGAAACGTAGATGTGTAGATATTTAATGGATTTATTATTTTTTCTTTGATAATGACGTCAATATTGTGTAAATTATAACATTTGGATGGAATACACATCTAAATCGATTTATGGTTATTAATTTTTTAATATTTTAAAATTAAAAATAATTAAGTTAAATAATCAGAGAACTTCTAATATGTATGTATATATATATATATATATATAGCGTATATTTCTTTTACAACCTTATACATTTGTACAACCTTTGCAACCCAATTAATTGAGATATATATATATATATATATTGTTAGGACTGAAAAATCAGTATTAATTGTATTCGTCTTGAAAGATTAATTTTAGTCTATAATTGTAAAGTCAGCGTGTTTGACTTTCTTAGACTAGTTTGACTTTGACTTTGTTAGTTAGGTTGACCATATAAATATGGTTTAATCTTTGTAATTAGGAAGGGTGTGAGCTAATTGTAATATTCAGATTAATAATAGAGGTTTGACTGAATTGAGAGGATTGACTTTTCCTCTCAATATTCATATATGTGTTCATAGTGTTCTTGAATGATAAATCCATGAATCTGCCATTGAAGAAAGCTTAATATGAAGATTGATCAGTGTTATTGTGGACACACAATTGGTATCAGAGCTGGAATGCAAGAAATCGGAGGAAGATTATGAAGATAAGTGAATTTTTTTTGGATTTTTTTATTTTCTGAATTTTTGTGTTCTTCGTGTTCTTGACATTTTTCTTCGTTTTTGATCCGATTTTCTCATAAAATCTTGTGTTTTTGCGTTAAAAACAGGATCAAAATGTTCGAAATTGAATTGTGAATCTTTGTTATTCACAAACTTTTACGATTTGATCAATTTTAATCAAGATTTGATCGGGTTTTTGTGTTTTAAATTTTTTTTCGTGTTCTTATTTTTTTGTAAACCAGTGTTTTTTTGATCCAATTTTTGTTAAATTTTTTTTGTTTTTGTGTTTTTGATAGTGTTTGATCTGGTTTTATTTTTGTTTTCTTTATTTTTTTTTGTTAATCCGCCTGTTTTGTTTTAAAGCCCAAGTCAAATTTTTTTTAAGCCCATATCCCCGGCCCATTTTTTTGAACGGTATCATCTTCAAGAGTTCAAGTTGTGTTTCAATGTAAACCGTGTGTTAATTGGATTAGAAAAGTTGTATTCATAGAAAAACCGTGTGAAGCTTAAGCGGATAAGAAGAACACCGGAGACTGCTTAATCGGATTCCTTGAACGGAGAGGTACACCGGACGATTGCAGGTAAGTCGATTTTTAGGTTTAATTTTTGAGCGGTGTTCATCCTATATTCATCTATCCCGGACACGCTTTGATCGGTATTCAT